TTACTATGGTATTCTCCAATGCTGAAATATACAATTCCAATGGCCTTCCTTGGTCAATATGAATTATTACGAGAGGACTATTCAATGTTTGCCTTATGGTCTCAAAGGCCTTTTGATGTTCATGATCCCAAACAAATTCATTGTCCTTCTATAATCTTAGCAATGAGGAGAAATCATATGATTTACCTGTCAAATTTAAAATAAATCTCCTCAAATAATTAATTTTACCTAATAAAGATTGTAATTCTTTTTTATTTCTTGGAGCACTAGTTTTTATTATTGTCTTTATTTTATTTCTATCAATTTTGATTCCTTTTTTTTTAACAATAAATCTTAAGAACTTTTCAAGCATCTATTCCAAAAGAACATTTCAAATAATTCATTTTTAAATTATTGTTCTACATTCTTTCAAAAGTTTGTCTTAATTTATCGAGATGAGATTATCTCAATTCGTATTTAATTACAATATCATCTATATAAATTTGCATAAAATCTCTAATTAAATCATGAAAAAAATAAATTCTCCAGCATTTTTCAAATCAAAGGCACAACTAATCATTCATAAGTCTTTATTCTCCAAGGCATCGAAAATAAGTTTTTGATATATCATTCTCAGCAATAAAAATTTGATTATATCAAGAGTATTCATCTAAAAGACCTAACATTTTATTTATTGCTACAACATCAATTAATATTTCACATAAGATATTCATCCTTAGATGTTGCATTATTTAAATCTCTAAAATCGATACAAATTCTTATTTTTCCATATTTCTTAATAATAAAAACGATGTTAGAGATCCAATAGACATACCTAATTATCTTGATAAATTTAGTAGAAATCTCTCAATTTCTTCTTTGATTTTGTCCATGACTTCTAGTGCAAATTTTCGAGGAGCTTGCTTAACAGATTTTTTACCTTCTATTATGGACAGTCGATATTCCATTAAACTTTGATCTAATCTTGACATTTCTTCATATTCCGAAGCAAAACAATCTCTATATTTCTTGAGTATTGTTTATCAGTTTCTTTTTCATTTCCGCACATAACAACTTACTTATGTTAGTTGCCTCTTCTCATTTTCTTCACCTAAGTTTACTTCTTCTAATTGTTCTCGTGTTTCAACCTTCTTATTCCTCGATGTAATTGATTATTCAAAGCCTAAGGACGAGAAATCGTAAATACAATCTAACTTAACATCATTGTTCAATGGATTGTTATTACATACTATTGTTGATGGGATCGACTTATTGAATTTGTTCCTACTCTTACTTCTGATTTCTTGACTCTCTCATAATATAGATTGATCAACATAACTTTATAATGTAGTCAAGAAAATTTTATAACAGGACTTAATCATTGCCCCCAGCCATTTTGAGGTTGACCTCCTCCTTCAATAAAAATAATTTTTTTGGATCCACTTCGACGAACCAAAAACTTATGCATTTTTGAATTAAACTCTTCAAGAGTTTTGAATGTAAAAGACTTAGTTATTGCTAAATTCTTCAAATGTTGATCTACATTAGACATGTATGCCACAAAATTGATTCGATCACCCTAAATTACCTCTAGATGTCTATCTCGATTCCACATATACAAATATTCTATGATCTGATCCAAATTGGAAAAAAAAATTCATTACAAATGTTTGTCCCATATTTGTAACATTTTTCAGAATGTAAATTTTAGTACAATTTGATAATCATCTCTAATTATGCTCATTTCTCCTTATTTATATTTTACCTTATGTAATCACTAGGGAAAATAAAATAAAATAAAAGCGATTACTTTCCCTATAATCACTCTCATATTTTCTCAAGTCTTTTCATTATCATGTAATACTTGTAATGGTTCATATCACGAAGTGGAACCATAATCATTCTCGCATCTCTCGATTACATAATCCTTTCTCGATCACTTATCTTTTTCTATTTTGTATAACCCTTTTTCAATATCTCTAAGTCTTCTATTTACCACTTTTTCTTCCTTTCGATTTTCCCCTTAAATTAATATAATTTTTTATTCTTTAGTTCTTTGAATATCATCTTGCCTATTATGAACCTCTCTATTTTTTTTTTTGTCAAAAACCATTTATTAATCCTTCCATGTTTTTTCCGAATCTTCTTCGATTTTCATCCTTTCAAATAGTGTTTTACATCATCGAGTCTTATCTCAAACTTCAATACTCTTTTCTAACTCATTTTTTCGTCAACAATTCCATAACATGAGATTTCAGTAACTAACCAAATGCATAGGAGGTTTTTATCAAATTCATAGGAGGTTTTTATCAAAGTAAGAAAAATGTAGCTAAGAAGATTCAAATTTATGTTCATAAAAAAAATTACATTTTATAAATTATTTTATTTTTTAAAAGAATTTTACTTATAAAAAGTTTTTTTTTTACTTACAAGTACCTCCGAAATAACTTGTCAAAACATTTAATTTTGTTATTATCTATTTAAAATATTTATTTAAATTTGTTTCTAGTTCATATGAAATATAAAAGGTTTTACTTTAATCCTATTAATTGTTTTCTTTAAATGACAATCACGATGATAAAACAAGTTCTCCATGTCACTGTTCCTCTAACGTTGTGTGTGGCTGGTCTTCTATATTCTACTTTCTCTCCATAATAATAAATGACTTTAATATAAAATATTAATAAAAATAAAACTAATTTATATTTTTCTTATCAATAATTTTATTTTTAAAAAATAAATAAAAATATTTTACGGATAATCATGTTTATTCCATTAACAATGAATAATTAAAATTCTGAAATCGTAGCTTCAAAATGGGTCAATCAATTGAGGTCATGATTTCAATTAAAAAAAAAACAGTATTGTAAAAGTAAGACCATATTTTGGAGAGAAAAGCAAAGTAAAAGAAACGAAAAATTATGATATTATCTATTTATCCTATAATTAGTGTCTTAGCACAAATAGAAACAGAACAGAGCACAATTTATTGTAGAGAATGTTAATTCACAGACCAATACATATATATCTCTCACTAGATCAAATGGATACTAACTTTTGGCTCCTGCAGAATCTTCTCCACCATGATATCCTCCAACCCAGTTTCAACATCACTCTTCTCTCTTTGCTTTTCCCTTCTCACGTCCCAACTCGATGCAGAAACAGTGGAAACTTGGCTTCTAATCTTGGGATGAACAAATGAAGAGAGGAGAAGTACAATAGAAGCCATGGCATGGAGAATGAAACCCAAGTTAAGGTTTGATTTAACATAACAACAGTGAAACCGTTTGTTTATATATATGAGTTGAGAGACTTTGTTGATTACACTCACCAAGAACTGATGCAATATGTTTGAATTTTTTTATTACAACAAAAGGCATTTGGAAATGGAGGTACAGAAGTTGGTTGGGGGTTGTTGCTTTATGGGTGCTCTTTTCAACACCTGTTTTTTGGGCTAATTATGGGATGTTGTCATGAGCTCAACCATAAAAGAAGAAGATCACCACCACCACCCTTTCACCCATGCATCCTTATAATATTTTTGTTTTCTTCTTCAAATTATTTATGTAAAAATATTGATTTGACATTTGCATGCATGGAGTCATGTAAATTAATGACATCCCCTTTTCTTTTAAAAAAATTAACGACATCCCTTAAATGTTCTAGATGTGGTGTTGTGTCACGTGATAGTTTCCTACAGTGTCCTAAATCAAACCAAGTGAATTAGTTTATGAGTTTATGAGATATGAGATGTAAAAAGATATAATTTTCAAAAAAAAAAAAAAAGTAGTATGGTATCCCAAATTCTCATAATTTAAACAAATTGTTGCAATATTCTCTCAAATTAGTTCAACTGGTTAAATCTTGTATATACTTTTCTTTTTTCTTCTTACTTAAATTATTTGGCTAAATTATAATTTGTGTCCCTTTAATTTCTTATACATAATTTTATTATCCTTTTTTTCATAATTTTATAAAATCCGTAATTTTAGTCTAATCCTCAATTTTGCATGCATAACTTCTCTTAATTTTTATATTTAAATTATCTTTTGATGGTACCATATTATTAGGTCTCAGGTTTAATTATACAAAAAAATGTTAAATATATTTCCGGTCTCAAATAAATGACTCAATCTTTTATTCATAATAATTTCTTTAATTTTTTTCGTTTCTAATAACTTTTTATTTTATTTTATTTTTCAAAAAATTACTTCAATAATACTTTAAACAGTGAAATAAATAGATTTATATAGAGCCTTATGGATGAAAACAGTTTTTCTTTTTTATTATTATTTATAAGTTTTGAAATAAAGAGACTTTAATACGCCCTTACCCTCTCATCTTGTTTTATTAAATTTTAATTTTCTTATTTAAATAGACTAGTTTAATTATTATCAAATATAAATTTTATTTTAATATTTAATAATTTCAAAAACATTAGATGATAATTTTTGTCAACGTTTGATGGAAACTATTTTCAACCAAAGTCTTCTGAGTTTTTTTCTGCTGTGACAAATGGTTTTCTTAAACGAAATGAATCCAATTTATTTTTAAATTATGTCGGTTATAATTATTTTTTATTTACATTAATCAAAGTTATATTTCAATGTTTAAATGTGAGAGTTTGTTTTGCATGTCAACTTTAAAAATTCTCCCATCGAACATCAACTTAAGATGAATCCAAAAAGAAATGTTGTAGTATGAGATTTGTTATCATAAACTCAAGTTTGTATCAGATTGTAAACCAATAATAAACTCAAACGTTGGTGCATAACTAAATAAAACATTGGAAACCCTGAAACATCATCAACAACCATGATCCAGAAACATCTTTGCAGTATAATTTTAGGACAATTAATATAGGCCATCAAACTCATCACATAGTTTCTTGGTGTAACAAGAAGCCACTACTTAGTCATTTAAAACCACTATTTGTAGATTGCAGAAGCAGAGTGTTACAGCAGGTTTGAGCAGAGGCAGAATATAATATACATGGCTCATACTACAAATCTTTTCATAGTCTAGAATGGGGGCCAATCCATCTGTCTTCCCCCAATGAGGTGCAGATGAATGTGGAAAACTGTTTGACCTGCCAAAAACCAATCTTCAGCTAAATAAAAATATAGAGCAAAAACTCACAAGAACCTGTAAATCAAATAAAATATGATTGATGAATGCTTCTGCAATGACATGAAAAGAAATAACACTTACCCCCATCTGGTCCATCATTAATTACGACTCTAAAGCCATCATCAAGACCCTCTTGCTTTGCAACCAGCTTAGCTGTGTACAGAAGGCGACCAAGAATCTCACAGTGCCTCTCCTCAGCCTAGGAACAATACCATAGATCAATATACTCACTTGCATAGCCTATATAACATGCAAAATAGTTGTAGCATTCAATTTGATTTGCCAGTTTAAATAAATAACTGATTTTTAAGAATAATTGTGACCATTGACTATCATCATCAAATACTGTCACATACAATTTGTTTTCCTTCTGCTCCCTTCAAGAACAGCTTAACCATGGACTGAAAAATGTAAACTAGATACTACTACACTTGGAAATATATTAACAAAACATTTTGCATGAGGACTAAGTAGAATAGATAGGAATAACTATGTTGTTCGCCTTGGTTATACCCGTTTTGGTAGAACTAAAATGTTTCACTTCTAACTTGCTATGTACTGTTCTATTTGTAAAATGTGTATGTCAGGTTTTGTCCCTTCTAACACATCCTCTGAATGCAACTTCAATGTGTCTATTAACCTATCAACAAACAATCATATCAATTGGGGAGGAAATGATCATGTTGCAAAAATTATTAAATGATTTCAATGAATACAGGGACATGTGATGAATCTGAACGAGACCAGCTTACAAGATTTGTTTGAGTGATAAATGGTCTAAATGACCAACTCTTACAAAAACTTGATCATGGAGTCTCATACTTATGCCTCAATTTGCTATAACACTAATATTAACTTACTTTGATACTCATCAAATAACATGTGATTAACCAAAAGGAAATAGACAATGCAGTTAATTAGGTTTCATAGAACAAGTATTCATCTACAAAAAAAGGTAATTGCCATCAAATACATACCACTAAGAAAGTAGTGTATTACTAAGTATTAAGTTTATGATTATATTTTCAAGATAAAAATATATCTTGCTTACAATAAGCTGGGATAGCAATTAAAAAAACACAATTTTAAGACAAACTACAAACAGGTGCTCAAGACTCCCCGAATGATAAATCGGATTAGGCCCTGTCAGCCCGTCTAAAAATTAGTAGAACGGATTGATAATTTTAGTTTGTCAACTCGTTTTGTCCATCTTGCCTAACCCGCTAACCCAGCAGGCCAAGGATGGGACTGGACGAACTGACCCATTTTTGAAAAATATTTATATATTTAAATAAAAATAATTATAATTAAAATATTATATATTTTGTGTTATGTTATTAAAATATGCAAATAGATTATAATATTATAATTTAAATTATAAATATTAACCAATTGAACTTAAATTATTAATTATAATTAGATGTTTTAAAACACAAATATAGTAATTTTTTAGTTTATCTAATAAGAATATTAATTAATGAATAAAAATTTAAAAATTATTTATATAATTAAAGATATATTTTTTAAAAAAGTACATATAAAAAAATATTTTGACGAACTAATCCACTAGTCTACTATTTGGTGGGACGGGTTGGAGTTTGTAGTTCATTTTATCTATGTTCGGCGCTCCATCCCATTTTTAGCATATTAAAGACAGAACTGACCCTTTTTACCATCCTTACCCCCTCCACAAAGAAAAAGAGTCATGATTTCATATATGTATATAACATTCACCATAAAATGAAAAGTTATATAGACTTTAAAAACCATACTTATGTATCTACGTAGAATTCATGTCCGCCTTTCAAATACAAGTCAAACCATAGTCTAAAATGAGTTTCTAATAAAAAGTTTAAGAAAGTACCCAAGAGTCTATTTGATAGCAAGAATAGTACCTTCGTAAGGCACTAGACTAGGTTATTTATAGCTTGGTAAGATTATGTTATTTACAAATAGTTTGAATCTAAATCTCTTTTACAAATAGTCTTACGTGGCTCGTTAGGATAATCTTTGAGGATTCAATGAAAGAAAATTTTCCCAAGCCATAGAGTCCTCAAATAACTTCAAAGCAATATTACGAGATATACACGTTGCACAATCTTTTTCACCAAAAGAACTAAACCTTTCATGCTATGTTATTACTGAAGAAAATCTTTCTTTGATGGGAATTTTCTTATATAATATGCTATTTTATATGATTTACTATAAATAACAATAAGGTGTGGAGCACATTGAGAACATGTGCGTAGATGATATCAAAATGAACATATGAGATAACATAATAGTCTGAAGACTCGAAAAATTGATTAATAATACCTTTGATAGACCAGTTAAGCCATCCCTAACTTTAGGAATGATTAGAATGTGGGTAGGAGCTTGTGGAGCTATGTCCCTAAAGGCCAGAACCTGTCAAACGATAATAAAAGATGAAAGAATTATCTATTGCTATAATGTGATTCCAAATCAAATAAAACAACTTGACTACAATATCCGCTAATGTTGAATGCTAGCCAAGACTAACTTCTAAGTGTGTTTGAATCCCCCTAACAAAAACTAGCATTTGCCCATCCAAAAAGTAGACTTTCTTCCAAGAAATTTGTTAACATTTTAACAAAAGATTCCATTAGAAGAACTGCCTCAAGCCTATTTTTGCAACTTAGCGATATTTGTTTTACCTTAAACCAACTGTCAGACTACATATATATATATATATATATATATATATATATATATATATATATATATATATATATATATCATAATATACTCAAAGGTTCCAGAGCAAAATATGGTCATGTTCCTCTTATTCAAAAAAGGATAACTAAATAAAATGTTCAATGATGTGCACAATTGATAAGTAGAAAATACCTTATCATCCTCGTAAACCACAGTAGAAGGTATTTCCTTATTAATGATCTTGTCAAATCTGTTCATCGCATAATACAAGAGAAAGGATGTGAATATTTGGAACTATAAACAAATAAATATAAAATTACATGACAAGAACATGGGATCATATCCTGTTCCTGCCTCAATAATTAAAAAGATAAAATATCTTATTATTAAAAAAACTATTAAGGATGCAGGAAAAGCCATTATGTCCCACAGAATATGCGCACATACACAGACTATCACAAACAGTAATTAAGAGATTATATAAAAAAGTTAACTTTAAAATTCAAACGAGCATATCTCTTCATAGAATCATCGGCGAGTGTCACCTACAAACAACTTTATAATTTTGGTGACAGTATGATATCGTATTTCATTGTGGTGAAAACAAGCTAAGATTGTGCTACTACCCTGTAAACCTAAATAGTTAAAAATACAATCTTTTTAGGGGTTTTGCATAATTACTGAGAAAATCAGAACATATAATAAGCCAACCACAAGGGATTTTTGAAATTGCAGAAAAAGAATGGAGGATGAAAATATGCACAGGAGAAAAGGGGAAAGAGGAGAACGAAAGCTGGAATGGATAACTCACATGGTGGGAGCATAAGAGGGAGTCCTTAAAGCAGCTTCTATCTTTGAGGCCATGGAAATGGAATGCAACCAATGAGATACCAATAAAAGAAAATCACATTCAATAATCCTGGTTTTCTGACTTTGGAAGTACGTGTGCGCGCGGAGGTTTCATGTCTTTCAAAAAGCAGAAACACCTTCTTCTTCTTTTTTTCTGTAATTTGTTTTAATAATGTATAAACGAGGAATTATATTTATGTTTATACATTTCCTAATAAATTATAAGTGTACATTTCCTAATAAATTTTAAGTGAGATCGTTACCAATTTGAAAAATATTTTAATCTCTTTGTAAAAATTGTTAATATATAATAATGAATACTTTTCAGAGATTTTAAAAGAAGGAATTAATTATGTTAAATTATGATTATAATATTTATTTAAAAATAGTTCATTATGAGAATCTATAACTCTAATTAAATTCTGGTTTTAATTACTAATTTAAAAGAAAATTATATTACAAATATAATAATATTATATAATATTCAAATTATCAAAATTATATATAAACAGTCTTTATTTCAACAAATTAATTTATCGTTAAAAGTAATAATAATGAAGAAAAAAATGAAAATAACAAAAATAACATGTTAGTATTTGGTATATAACAAAATTTATATAAGGAATGAACATGTGTCCAGAACAAATTAAAATAGACAAAAAAGTTTAACTTTACTCCAAAATATTTTGGAAGAAGGATCTTATAGAAAATTATTCATCAAGTTTTTTTATTCAATCTTGATATAGATTTGTCTGAGTCTGACATAAAAAAAATATAATAAAAGATATAATGATAAATGGAAGAATAATTCAACTTATTATTTTATTTCACTTCACTTTTAATGTCATTTGAGTGATGTTTATTATGTTTTATTTTATTATTAAAGTATCTATTTTTTTATCCTGACTTATATAATTATGAATAAAGTTTATAATATGAATAAAGAACATAGTATAAGATATAATTTATATAACTTCAAATATATATATATATATAAGTTGTATAATCAAATACGTGCTATCTTGAATAATAATGTATATAATTTGTATAATTGTAAATAAGATGTATAATTTGTATACCCGTATAAAATATATATTACTTGTAATTTTAAATGTCCTGAGTAAGGAATTTTTTAAATATGTAGGTTTTGTAAAGATATTCAAATAATTACATGAATATAAGTGTCAATCTTAATGTGTAAATATTAGAGTAAAGTATAATAAAATCTAACTATAATATGGTTTGAAATATATTGTATCAAGCTTATATGATAATCATCTTATTTAGTTTTTCTAATTTATGAGTTATTAAGTAAACAATCCATAATTAAAAATGGTGATGTCAACTTTCCTTCAGCATGGTCTCTGAATATCACATATTTTTCATCTGACAATATCTTCTTTATGGAAAGTTCATCTTAAGATCCTAGTATAATATTCTTAAGTAGCTTTTGAAACCTCTTCTCATATTTGAGCTTCCTCTCAACTTCATCTATTAAGTTTACCTGAATACAAAAATATTGTTGGATTAGCTCTTTATTAAACATTGTTAGTACCAATACTCTTCACCTAATTTAACCAGAATCATGATATTAGTCTCATATATTAACCTAAATAATTTTTCTTGTGTAGAAGCTTGTGGAATTTAGTGATTACCCATAAAATGTTTAGGATTTTATCAGCTCATAAACCTTTGGTCTTTCCTAACTCCTTTTTTTTTTTTTTTTCTTAACTCTCCTTGGGGAGTTTATTTGACTGTAATGAATATTCTACACATAACACATAATGCATTATGTCAAGTTGTTGTAAAAAATGTTCCAAATTCTTATTAACAATTTGTTGTCAATAATTATTGCACGAGGAAAGTTATGCTGTCATAAAATATTTTTTCATAAAAATTTTTGTATTTGTTAAGTTGTAATGATAACTAGGGATTCAATATGTATTTACTTAGTAAAATAGTTAATCACCACTATTAAACATTTAATGTATTATTGATTTATAGGAAAAGAACAATAAATTATCAATACCTAAAATCATGAATAATCATGGTGAGATCATTAATGTAAAATGGGAAATTTTATATCAATATTTTTTCGTTGAATTAGTTACTACTCAATGTAATAAAGAATGCGTAAATACTTTTAAAAGTAAAATCAACTCTTTTACATTATGCCATACGGAGTCTAACATAAAATTTATTTTATATTTCCTTCAAAATTTCACCTTCCTCACTTGAGAGTTTTTTTGTTGACCAACAACAACATGATCACTACGTGAGTTTCTTGGGTGTTTTTCAGTCATAAAATTGAAGTTGTGCTTAATCATGGAGATTTTAATCACGATAATGCATGAATATCTCTATTGGATTGTTGTTGTTGAATGTTGATTGAGATCGAAATATTATTAATACAACCGCATATAGAAGCAAGACCAAATGTGTGAAAATCATAAAAGAAAACATGTAGGAAGCAAAAAATGCATTATAATGTCCCACGACGCCATTGGTTTGCTCGTCCTCACACGCATGTTCTTCACCTTCACCCTTTTCTCCTTCCCCTTTTCCCACACATTCAAAATCTTCTCTATTCCACAAAACCCCCTCCTCCGTTAAGGCTGCCAATCAAAAGCACCCTGTTATCACCATTATCTTGGTCAATTTCCTCCTCACGACCTTTGTCCTCATGCCACATGTGCTCGATGCAAGAATGTGGGATACCTTTGTGGTAAATTTATGTTGGCTATGGTACCACCCAATGTAAACTTACATCAATTAGTTATTATGATGTAAATTTACAATTATTCTGATATAAATTTATATATCTTATGTTAATGTTAGAGCTTAGTCAAACATGAAAAGATAAAAATAACAAAAATAAAAAACATTTTTTGTACTAATGGATAATTAACACTATGAAACTCTTTACAAGTAAATGAAATATTAGAGCAAATTGTTATCACTCTTTAATTATGTGCCTATTTGATTAGGAAGACACACATAATCGATTATTTAGTAACACATAATCGATTATGTCATCCAATATAATCAATTATAGAGGGTCATGTAATCAATTATGTTAGACTTTATGGGTAACTATGACAAAACTTAACAACAAATTAATAACAATTCAAGTTATGTAGAGACTTTGGTCAACCAATTTTACATCTTAAATGACTTAAATCATTCAGCAAATTGTATAAGAAAAATGGATAAAAATACTTACTAGGATTGGTTTGATGTACGTGGAAGAAATATGGATAGAAATACTTACATCAATCACCCTTTTTTTAGTAGAACCATATAAGTGAATGTATAATGAGAAGTTCTGTCAATAGGTCTATTTATACTTGAAAATTTGTGGAGTGGTTAACAGGTTTATTCAACGAGTCAATAACGTTTGTTCAACGCGCATGACCAATGACAATATGCTCTATGGCTGAGGGTTTACAAAGAAAATTAATGTATAATAATGTGAATGTTACACTCATAGCTCAAATATTAACAAGGAATAAGTAAGATGTGTCTTCAGGGGATATGTAGTTGTGTTAAGGACAAACATAGGTTGTTAGTCATGAATTATACATTATCTTATCTTGTATAATGCTTTGGAAGATAATTTCAACAAGTTCAGGTTAAAGGTTTTATGGAATTAACAAACACTCTCATAAGACAAGAAAAACATTACATCGAATGAAACTTTCATTTTATTGTGTTTTCTTACTTTTGAAGTGTTTCTCTATAGATGATTCTTACTCATTTTTTTCTCAAATAATCTCAATTCAACAAATAAAAATGATCAATTTCTTCTAAAATCCACTCACTCGTTTCATTCACTATAATACAACCCTAAAACAAACACAATCTTAAAAAAAATAATTTGAAAAAGTTATTGAGTTGATGATGTCAAAGACATCAACTTTTTGGTTGATTACATCAATGATACATGTTATTGAGTAACCACCAAATAAGGATGAATATCAACTTAAGGATCAATTCAAATAATAAAAAAAAAAACATGAAACTTTAACAAGTTTTATTTAAATGGTGTAAAAAGACAATTTATTATATATTTATTTATATAATATGTAATAAATTAAAATATGTAAATAAAAGTGATAATTTATATAAGTGGGAAGTGTGCTTTGAGGTGAAATTTGGTTTTTCACCGTGACCAAAACAAACCCCTGAATTTCTCTTTTACCCATAAAAGGTAATTTCAATTATCAAAAGTATAATATAAGCATAAATTTTCACTTCTTGACAGCTAACCTCCATTTTTCTCTTATCACCACACTCTCTTCTTTCAAACTCTTTCTCATTTTTCACATATTTGTTATATTCCAAGAAATATTCACTTCATGATGCAACACTCTTATACTTTCTCTTTATTTTTTTTCATTTCTTTGTTTGTTTTCTAGTGACATTTTTGTGTTGGACGTTAAATTTTATTGAAAGTGAAGACAATTTTCACACATGATTAACTTACAAATATCCACCCAACATGCAACTCACATACCTGATCTATTTGTAACTTAAATGAATAAAATTTGACTAAACTATTATTTTTTATGGATATTTTTTAATGTGAAATAATTTGAGATCTCATAATATTTAGGGATCAATAATTGTTTTCAAAGTCATTTTAAATTTTGAAAGCATTATGAAAATAAATATAAATGATTTTAGATGTTTACGTATTGATAAATTTTATTATTGGATGTGGAATGAGTTGAAGTAATTAAAAATAATTTAGAATTATTTATCTTGAAATCCTTATTTGGAATATAATTTTTTAGAAAAGTGTAATCTAGAATCTTTTTAAATACATTCTGAATAGTATTTTTTGAAAGTGTAAATTTTTTAAAAATCAGTTTTATGATAAATGGAAAGTGAGGCATTTTATGGAGGTAGAGAAGCTAAACTCTTGAAAATATGGGGAAAGAAAGGCCCAAATCCAATAATGTCTTCAATTTTTCTTATTCCGGGAAAGCAAGAAGGGAAAAACTTGTGGCGGCTACAAAACACGATATTCCGAAAAAATAAAACGAAAATAAATACAGAAAGGAGTATGAAGTAAGAGTGAGTGTGATTGAATCCTACATCTTAATCAGAAAAAACCCTAGTGCCACCTTCTGCACTCCACTTGGGAAATCGCCGATGGGGAAGAAGCGAAAGGTAGCACCCAAATCTTCTCTATCAGCAGAACCTCCACTCAAGCACCACCAACCCGAACCTCAAATTGCGCCTCCCGAGTACGAGGAAGTCGAAGTGGAAGAAGAGGAGGAAGAGGAAGTAGAAGAAGTAGAAGAGGAGGAAGAGGAGGAGGAGGAGGAAGAAGAACAAGACGACGAAGAAGAGCATGAACAGCAACAAGACGAGGACGACGACCCCATCCAGAAGCTTCTGGAACCTTTAAGCAAGGACCAGATCTTGAACCTCTTGTGCGAGGCGGCGGCGAAGCACCGTGACGTGGCGGACCGGATACGCAAGGCGGCGAATGAGGATCCCGTACACCGGAAGATCTTTGTACACGGGCTAGGCTGGGACACCACCGCCGGAACCCTAATCAGCGCGTTCCGGCAGTACGGTGAGATCGAGGACTGCAAGGCCGTCACTGATAAGGTTTCCGGCAAGTCTAAGGGCTACGGGTTCATCCTCTTCAAGACTCGCCGCGGCTCGCGAAACGCACTTAAGCAGCCGCAGAAGAAGATCGGCAACCGCATGACGGCGTGCCAGCTGGCCTCCATCGGCCCCGTCAGTAGCAGTCAGAGCCAGCCACAGGCACTGCCTTCCTCGGCGCCGGTTCTGTCTTCGTCGGGTTCGGAGTACACGCAGAGGAAGATTTACGTGAGCAACGTCGGTGCGGAACTCGATCCGCAGAAGCTTCTGGCGTTTTTCTCGCGGTTCGGGGAAATTGAGGAGGGGCCTCTGGGGCTGGATAAGTTGACGGGAAAACCGAAAGGGTTTTGTTTGTTTGTTTATAGGAGTGCGGAGAGTGCGAAGAGAGCCTTGGAGGAGCCTCATAAGGACTTTGAAGGGCATATTTTGCATTGCCAGAAGGCGATTGATGGGCCCAAGCCCGGGAAGTTGCAGCAGCAGCAGCAGCAGCAGCAACACGGGAACGTGAATACTCAGGCCCGGACCCAGTTTCAGAGGAACGATACTGCAAATGCAGGTGGTGCGTATGTTGGTGCTGCTGCGGCAGCGCAGCCGGGGCACTTGATGGCTCCGGCTGGGCCGGGGATTGGGTTTAACCAGGCGGCGTTGAATCCGGCGCTGGGGCAGGCGTTGACGGCCCTCCTGGCATCGCAGGGGACATTGGGACTGACGAATTTATTGGGTAGTATTGGGACGAGTGCTGCAGTGAACCCTGGTGTGCCTGCTGCGGGGGCTGGAGTGCAGAGTGGTTACAGTGCTCAGTCGAATATTAGTCCTGGTGTTATTGGAGGATATGGGACTCAGGTGGGGTTGCAGGCTACATATCCGAATCCGAATCAGCAGTTAGGGCAGGGTGGTTCTGGAAGAGGGCAATATGGTAGTGGTGGTGCGCCTTACATGGGGCATTAGGTATGATTTTGATGTGTTTGTGTCTGTGCTTGAATTATGTTTTTGATGTTTGGTTTGTTTTCCTGGTTGGCATTAGTTTCATCAGTTGGATACTGTATAACTGTATTTGATTTGTAACTGGGAATTGGGTAGAAAGTGAAAGCCAGGTAGGTTTTTCTTCTTCTGGTATCTTACACGGTGTTTGGTAGAGAGGAAGAAAGTAGGTAGGTTGAAAAGAAAAGAAGGGAAATAGACGAGGAATAGGGTAGAAACATAGGTTTCTTATTTAAGAGTAATGGAAAAGAAATAGAGTGTAAGTTAACTTTGTTGAGATTATTTGGTTTAAGAAAATAGAAAAAATATGAAATATACTTTTTTTTTTTACATTTACTAATTTTTTATTTTGCATTTTGTTACATATACATTCCTTGTGATATATGCCAATTATATGGGATCCAAGGAGTTGGAGGCATTGCACAAATAGTTCTCTGCTTTTCCATTTGTCTTGGCGCCAACTGATATTTCAAAACAAATTCCTATGTATATATCTCATATACCAAGCTGCTGAAATGCCCTTCAATTCACACCCTTCCCTCCCCTCCCTCATTCTCATTTCCAGCCTATTTAGCCACTCCCAAACAGAGCATTAATGCTTTTTATTATCAAATTTTCTGGAGTGACAAATGGGATATATATTGATTGCATAACATGAACTCAAATTGGTTATTCTTTCAGCTAACAATCGTAGCCTCTTCTTGTGCTCTAGAATTCATATCTCTCTGCTGGAACATTATGTTATAGTGTTCATTCTTATTTGTTTATTGGAATATGGCTGTTTCTATCCATGTCAATGGAGATTGAGGATGAAACAATTATGTGAGACGATGAAGATGGAGGTCTTAGGAGTTTGGATGATGAGGAGTGTAATTAAGCAAATCTTTTGGTGAAGCAAAGTAGATAAATGAGGTGCATGAGAAGTTGAATGTAACTAACCGAGAATAAAGAATGGTGGTGGACTGGGGATATGGCAGATGTTCATAGTTGGACAGAGAGGATTTATATATAGGTTTTTTCTTGTAAGCATTTTTTTTTTTGTTCCTTGCTTTTTCTTTTGAATTCTCGTTTTCTTGTTCATAATTCATTTGTGCTTGACCCTTTCACATCTTTTGTTGAGTCTAGTCCGTTGTGGATTTATGCTTGTTAATGTTTTGCATGCTGAAGTTCCCATATTCTATGTAGAGCATACATACTTTCTCTATCACCTCTAGCCCAGCAGGCAAACTAAAATATATAACTGATGTGTAATTGGTGGGTTTTTTTTTTTTTTTTCATTCGGTTGGATTATGAATGACCACTTCATGGTTGGGAAGTTCTTGTCTATTAGTATAAAAACGTGGTGTATTCTACAACATATTGCATAATGGTTTATATTCATGATCTATTTGCAAGAGCTTTTTAATGGTTTTAACTTTTTTGACTTTAGTAATATAACTTTTTTGTTAGTGTTTTGATTGAAAGTATTTATAATTATTACCTTGGATCAACTATGGAATGAACATACATCAATATCATAGAATTAATTTGGTTTCCTTACAATTTGATTAAGAGTTTTTATTTTCAATTCTAGCAACAAAATACAGCAGGTAAATCTTTTGGTATTTTATGAATATTTGCAAACAAGGGAAAATTAAAGTGTTAATTTTGGAGGTAGATTGACAACAACTGATTCATGTTGTCCCATGGATGCAGAATAGTAGGGCTCTATATAAGAGGCTCGTGTCTAACTCTTGGAATTGTTGGTTGCCAATTTCATGAGAACAGAGGGGATTTGGGTTACTTGTTGCCTCTAATTCTGGTAGGAAGTGTAACAACGAAATTTTTAGGTTATTGCATATATGGCTTATTTATTTAAGCAAGCTAATAAAAGTTAATTCTGAGGTACATCGTTTGTTTATATATTTTTCCAGAAGCTATTTATTTTAGCTGCTGAAAAAATAAACACTGAAGCAACATTTTGAGGCCCCCCTGAAAAACTTATGTAAGTATTATAATTTTATGATAAGTCTTTTGTTTATGTCTTCTCCAGAAGCTATTTATTGTAGCTTCTGTAGAAAACCTCTGAAGCAACTTTTCGGGCCCCTCTCCCCTGAAAAACTTAAAAGTTAGTATATTTTTTAAGCATTTCTTTCAGTTTTACAAATATTTTTCCGAATAAAAAGCTCAAACAAATGGAGCCTTATAGTTTGCTTTCAGGAATCTAATCCGTAATACTATAAAACTTTAAATGTTCCAAAGTGTGTGGTGAATTCTGCATAAGCTTTACTGTTTTTTTTTTTCTTCTGCTTATATCTCTCTTCTTGCACTGACATTAATGATTTTATTATATTCTTACATGTGCGAATATTGAGGATGGGCTCATATTTTACCTAGGAGGGGGCACAAATTTTGTTTGTAGTGTGAACCAGAGCATCCTACCTAAATTAAAAACTGTTTCTAAACTTAAACTATTTGTGTTTAAAATATAGCATAGATAAGAAAAATGACGCCTATATTACTGTTAACATTTAATTAAGCTTTAAATAAAAATGCATTATATCACATACAACTCAGATGTTAACAACTTGTAATGTAGAAGATTAAGTTCTTCATGCGATGTGAAGTTAAACACTAAAAGAAAACAGCCTAATAACTAGATTTCTATCAAGAAGTACAAGTGGAGAGCAAAGTGAAAAGAAATTGAGGTAGTGTGTAAAATAGGAATTGAAGAACAGAGGGTTACTCGTGAATGTGAAGTCTGCTATATATCCCATCCATGAACTTGAAGTCATAATAATGAAAAACAGGGGCTTGGACTGCCGGTGTGGGAGATAACGAAGAGAAGATGATGGACTAAGAGAGAATTGAGTTGAGAAAAGGTGATCTCAATTATATTAGGTTTTTCATCTAGTCCTTGGATTGTAGCAGTGACTAGCGAGTCTCCCTGCTTAAATGTTAGTGTCATGCGGTGATGCCCAATTTGTGGACCATTACTGATCCAGTTTCATGTTTCCCCTGCCATCCCCTGCTATCTGGCCAGAAAATGATGTGAGGATGAGGTCCGAAGACAGCATGAAATCGCTAGTCTTTTCATGTGCTTTCCGTGTTTACATAATAAAAACATCTTTCTCAGTTTTTTCTCACCCTTGCATACTTTTTTCTGTCTTATATTTTCTTGGTACGTGGTTTTCTATATGTTGAAGGTTTGCAACACTTTTTTTTTTTTTTTAACTTTTACAACTATGATATTCTCATCACGTTGAAATGTCAAATAATTTTGATCTTGGAGTTTGATTTTCAATGGTTCTCAGCCAATTTTGCTAAAGTGTGATTTTTGGACCCTTCCAGTTTTTATCCACTTAAATTGTTTTCGTGCTTTTTTATTCATTTTTGCAGATTCCTCATAAGTGCGCTTGGTTTTTTGGACCCTTCCATTTTTTTTCCAATTAAATTGTTTTTCATGGGTTTATTCATTTTTGCAGATTCCATAAGTGCATCAGTATTTTATTACTGGCCTGGTGATTCTTCTGAAGTTTAAGGAGCTGATGCAATTGGCGTGTTTATAATGAAATGTTACTTACTACAATTATCAGAACATTTAAAATATCAAATGGAGTTCTGTTTTCGCCGCCTACTTTTTCTTTTCTGCCGTTTCAAAATATTGTAGTATTTTGATAGTTTATCTTCAAAAAAACCCTATGGAACTGTTTTTGTATTGCGAATTAAAGTTTTACCTGGATTATGAGGAGCTTGGGATGCTGAACAAACTATATTTTGAAATTTATGTTTGTGTGGACCATTGGGCTTCAACTTGGTATTCACTAGTAGCTTTATAGTGTTTTATATGGTTAAGTGATACTATTTTCCTTTTTTTTTTTATTATTTTATTTACTTCTTACTTTCATCAAAGTGAAATGTCATAGTGTGTCAAGTGCTTTTGGTTTTCAATATCCATCATCCCCTCGAAAAGATAGGTTAAAGCTAACATAACAAGTATTTCTTTGCCTTTTTTTTTTTCATTATTATTATTACTTTTTTTATTGTACTTCTCTTTACAGTATGTGTACCTAATATTTTTAGTTATTTTGCAGGTTTGCTGGCCATGCTTATATTATAAACATGCACCAATAATATAATCTGATTAATTTAAAAGGAAAAAAAATGCTTTAAATTTACGTTTGAGAAACGTTGTAGAGTTCTTTAAACCTTTCTTTTCTACTTTACAACATAAAAGCACACGGGCACTCTTATTTTTGGGGAACCCTTTTTTCATATAACTTGAAAATACCATTCTTTGTCATTGACAAGCTTGTTTAAAATTGTCTTTTGAAGTATGTCAAAGCTGTGAAAACCTTTTTTGTTGGTCAATTTGGGAGTTTTCTCTGCACACAGTGATATTTTTATGATGTGTTTTCTTTATTGTGGATTATGTTAACATATTTTTTTTTTCTGTCTACTTTTTATTTTATTTTCTCAATGGACTACTTTACCATACAGAATTTCTTGTTCTCAATTAAATCACTTTGGGGCTGAGATTCCCGGAATATGAAATATGTATGGTTATTGCTCAAATTTCCTAAGAATAGTGTTTTAATTCTCAGCCAAGTTTTATTACCACTGAAATCTTAGTAGCTTCATAATTTATACTTAACAGTAAACTTTTATCATCTACTACGAAGTCGGAAAATTTTTATTCCTATTTATTCACAACTAAACAATCCTAAAAGTTTCTTGTGTCTGGGAAATTGTTATATTTTATTTCTGAACCAAATATGAAATGTTTTGTTCCCGTTACTGTCAGAAATGTTGAATGGTTGTGTGGGGCTTACGATTAACATTACTTTCATGTTTGTTAATTTATGAGACTTCATGAATTCTATACACACGTGATACTCTTGGGGGCAAGAAATTCTTTTAATGTAGTGTGTTTACATTCGGAAAACCACACTTGGATGGTAGGAAATTCTTTCAAAACCTAGTCTGTT